TTGAGACCAAGTCTCTGGCCTGTGTGTTGGACACTTCTGACCGTTGGACCCAGCACTATTTACAACCAGTTTTGTGTTCCCTAATATTTGAAGAATGAGCCAAAATGTTTCACCACAGGATTACAACCGGATCACTATAGTGCATCATATTTCTTTCTAAAAATGACATAACCGAAGAAGTGTAAAGGTTACTCAAACACTGATTTTATCTCCATTTTCGCACTAGTTCGCATATCTTTTTTGAAATAAGACATGGCAGCAAAATTGGGACATGAGAAAAGGTCTTCACTTGCCTTTCTTTGACAAAATAGACTTCCTTTGAAAATGTATTCCTTAGTCAAGAGATATTATTCCCAATGAGGCCAGGAATAAATCCTTCAGCCGTTCCAACTCTTTAGTTAAATGGTTGCTATCCGCTAGTCACATACTCCTAATGCCCATTGGCTTCCAATATCAGATTTGTAACAAAGGCTGGTGTTAACGTGAGACTTTTGCATGAGTACCAACACTGATGATGTCCATCAAATGATAGAGAAAAACTCAGCCCGTTTTCCCCCGAAAGAAGGAGGATGCCTAGTGAACCGTATCCATCTGAACCTCGTATTAAAGTAAAATGGTTTCAGTACAATCGAAATCAGGCGTTGTCTTCTGGTGAGGTCAACCTACGAAACTTTTCTTCATGCCCTTAAATACAAAACAAAAGTCTTAATTGTACCACAGCGGGACTCGAACCTGGGTTATGGAAGTGTAATGTATAGTTTCGACACGTTGACCACTACGCAAGACAGGGCAGAAGTTTACTTCAAGTAAAGCCAGGCCTATCCCATATCCAATTTCTGTGGTGAGTTAGTCGATAAAGCATTGTAGTATATGCTATAGCAATAGACTACCTTACTTATTTTGTTTTAACTAGGTTTCGAGACTACCAGAAGATCATATCTATGAGAGTGAGTCTCGCTGGGGATGTTGATGAGACAAATTCGAGGTAGAACCTTCCATCCAGTCTATACTGGATGAGAATAACTTTTGGGAGGCAAAGCAATGTGAAATTCAATGGATGCGTAAGAGCTATTAATATAACTGTTGTAAAATTAAATTAACAGTCTTTAATCATCCTAAAAAAATTAGAGTGGATACATCTCATGTATAATTTGCTATAATCTTTTGCTGGTTCTCCTACGCGGAAACGGAACAGAACTACACTGTTCACATTCTCCATACAACGTCGTCGGAAAAACTTAGTCCCTCTCGATTCGCTTAGGCCAGATTACCGCCGAAATGTTAAAGGAAAATAGATACATAAGATCAGTATGGCGGTCAAACAAACACGAGATCAATTGGAGGGCAACACAAAGAAGAGCCCCATACGGTGACAACAAAAAGAAGCGGAAGATAAGGGAGGCCATTGCCATATTTGGGGAGAAAAATCTAATGAACAGGAGATTGGAGGCAAGTAGAGTTAGCGATAACTTTGCCAACTGCCTAAGCAAACTCGGGGAAAACAAAAATGGAGCAAGACCAGCAAAAAGGAGACGCCTGGATCAAGGATCTACAGCTAACCAGAGGAATAGGGATCGCAATGAAGAAAAGGGGGGGCAGGGGTTTTCGACAATAAAGCGGAGGCGTTTGTCAGTGAGTGATGCCCATTTCGAATAAATCAGTACAATTTTGGGGGCCTGGCAGTCAGGGAGCTGGGCCGACGGATAAGCAAACCGTCACGGAAATTCGGCTTTATGGCCAAAATGTACTACAAATCGACTTAAAATGCCGCATGCGAGTAAGAATAGGCGTCCACAGTTTGTTCAGATAAGATAGGTTTAATCAAGGAGAGGACTCGTGAATGGAAGGTCTGATATCGGCAAACATGGGAATCACAGCCTAGGCGGTCTGCTCGGTGAGGCGGTGTTGTACGTGCTTCTTAGGCCTTTAGAAATAGCGCCAAGAGTAATGCGCCCACTGGAACTGGAACCGAGTGAAATCGGTCAACCAGAAAGATAAGGAACGGATCTACGAGAAAATGAAAGGATCCGGATTGGAGTTGGATCAGTCGATCAAAAGAGAAGCGGTCGGGGTGAATAGCAAGTGTGATGAGCCCACATTAGATTTGCCACAAAAGGGCGCGCATTTTGACGAGTGGAATGTAAACAAGTGAGAAGTTTTGATAGGGGGGTAGTGGGATAATAGTGTAAATAGTAGATATGACATAAAGAGTGATAGTGTAACCGTTTTTGGCAGAACGTTTGTCGAGGGATTGACTTCACTTGTCTCTTTGATGAGTTTTTAGCTTGGTGCGGAGAATGGTAAAACTCACTAATGATGCCGGCAAAACGTTTGAGAATGTACCAAGTCCACTGTCAGACACTGGGAATCATGAAAACTACTATGGCAGATGGCTTCGGACTAGGTGCGTTCTACTAAGTCACCCTGACAACAAGACCAGATTGCGACGAGGTCAGCCCACTTCTATAAATCGAGAGGATACTTTGACGATACCAGAGGCCACAACATCTTGGTCTTCATATCTTTAAACCCGATTAAGATCCAAGATCAAGGCGAACTAACTTTAAAACTTAATTTTCAAGGAACAATCGGCCTAAATAGTATACAATGACTTAAGTAAGATCGAGATGCCTCACTCCACCATAACGCTTCAACTTACAAGCCAGAATTATAACTATCAGAATTTGCTAA